ATAGATATATATATATATACCACAGTTTTGCTAATTTTAGCTTCATTCTTCAAACCTTAGTTTGGAGCTGTTTGCTAAGGTTATCTTTTAGCTAAAAGTTTCTATCTTAAACTTTTCAGCTTTAGCTTGCTGATACTTTTTATTGTTCATTTTAGCATATTTTGCTTATTTTAGTTTTTGTCCTGTTTGTTTAAACTTTAATGTTTAGAGTATAATAGAGAATAATATAGATAATAATAGAATAGGCTGTTGGGGGAATATCAATTTTGTTTGGTGTTTCCTCAGACTGATGAAGCCTTCTGGATGGAGGGCGAAACGTATCAGCAAACACACACACACACAAAAAAAAAAAAAACTGTCCAGATGACCTGACTGAACATTGTTATGGACTTTGGTCTTTAATAAATAGGCTCACAATTCAAAAGTCATTGAGCACACAGCATTTACAGACTTTTTTTCTTACAAGAAGCTATTTTTCCAGTTTTTGTCTGTTTTTACATCATATACAACTGTCCATATTTGACTAATTCACAATATTGATCAATGAAAAATTAAAATCCCATTTCTTACTTTTATTTTAACTGTTATGTATTTCTTCCAATAGCAGAAAACAACGTTTCAATATTGTGACCAAATTTTGTGATTTACTTCGAGGGCATCAAGACTTCAGCAGACATAAATATTAAAACAATTGTGCATGGATCCTCCTTAAATTTCATTTGTTTAATTAATTAACCTTTATTTAACCAGGCAAATCTCATTGAGATCTCTTTTGCAATGGAGGCCTGGACCTGAAGGCAGCCTAACATGCATGTTTTTGAACTGTGGGAGGAAACTGGAAAACCCGGAGAAAACCCACGGAAACACGAGAAGAACATGCGAACTCCACACAGAAAGACCCCAGGTCCAACCGGAGATTGAACCCAGGACCTTCTTGCTGTGAGGCAACAGTGCTAACCACTGTTCCATCGTGCTGCCTTTTTGTTTATTATTTTTGAAAACACCTCAAGGAGTGCTGAGGAAATTATATCAAAAATGTGGAAATAATGATAATGACAAACGTATTAATATCCCTTAAAACATGAAAATTAATAAAAAATAAAAATAAAAAATGGACAAAGTTAAAAACAAACATGCAGACAGATGAATTATTATTATTGTTATTATTGAAGTCAAATTTCTAATTGAATTTTAAAGAGTCTTTATAAAATTGAATAAAGAAACAGCAGTGGTTGTGTGAATCTGTGAAACCACTGGTGGGTTCAGTCTGTCACAAGCCAGTAAACCTAAAACATTTATACAAAATCATAAAGAAGACAAAAGACACAGTTTGGACTCTGTAACAACACACAATGTTTTACAAACATTACGTATAAAACCTAAAAAAAAAAAGAGGTCTGCTGCTGGAATTCAGAAGAGGTCATTAACATTAAC